GTGTGAATTCCGAAATCCGAGAGAATTGAGTGTGGTTGAATCAAATTGTGATGTGAATCCTTTAGGGTGTTTGAGTAGAAGTATTTCCGATCTGGTATATCGACGAACAAGTGCCATAATAATGACAAAAAAACCTTCACATTTGATGAGATGCGATAACACGAGATTGTAGCGCAGCCAGTCAAAGGGTGCTTTCACCTTAAAGCTTGTGTTTTCGAGAAACCGATTAAACTGANGGCCTTCCAAGAAGGTCGAAACGTTGTCACCGAAATCTTGTGTTTTGGTACTCACATTGTGGCTAAAACAAACCTGATTTTATTGTAACCTTATGTTGCATTACAGTAATACGCACTTTCCAAATTTTACTTGCGAAATTTGAACTATTACAAATGTTATCCTGGTTATAAAACCACGCTAAATCACACGGTGACTCGGGAAAATGGACAACATTGTGAGGGACGAGAAGCTTACGAATAGAACGATCGTTACAGATTATCATCAGTATACAGGAATGGAATTGAAAACGAAATGTTAGTGCAGAGACAGCCACATCTCATGAGCCTGATAGGTATGTACCAGTGAGTAAATACCTCCAGGACCCCCCAGATAGAGAATCCAAAAGATATAAGTTAAATCAGTGTCACCTGTGCAGAAGCAATCAGTAATTACAAATTGCACATAAAACAGATTGTTTGGCGAGTTGAACTCAAAAGTACTATAAAGGAATTTTCAAATTGAACTGCATTTTTGGGACTCGGAGCTACTGACTGTATGGCCGTCCCGGAACGGGAGTATCGGTCAATCATAATATTATTATCCTCTCTCCATCAAATTCTGGAGCACCGACATTCTTTTCGTAGGCCAACCATCTTTATTTTTCTCCATTTAAGGGCGGATTTCGACTCAGTCAACTGTTGTGCACTCTGGCGCTGCCATTACCTGAAGGGTATATACGATAAGTTAATTTCAATATTACAACCGTTTCATAATGATAGCCGAAGTCGAGTCCGAGCTTACGGCATTTTTTCACCCGAGTTCACCACGCAAGCCGGTGTTCGTCACGACTGCCCTCTCTCCCCTTTTCTATTTAACTTTGATATATATATGATTATGAGAAACAGCCCTATCCTCGTGCGGGAATAGCGGCATTAATTTATATCTGATCTGGAGTATGCTGACGACATTGTGCTGCTGAGCGAAGAAACTGGTAATATTATTATACCGAAGTCATCCTTGTAGAGAAGTCAGGGTGATACTTATGAACAACGTTTTCCAGGGACAACCAATCAGTATATGCATAACTAAACTGAACTGATTAGTTACAGCCTACCACCGATCAAGACAGTCGACAAACATCCAGATCGAACAATCGCTGTGTATGAGCATTCCCAAACTTTCATTTTTCCCTTTAAACGAGCATGCTTTTCGCAAAATAATTGGATTCATCAGCACTTCCAGCTGTATGCTATTTCACTACTCGTTGAAACTCTATCTCAGTGATTCATCGTGAACGAAGTAACGGAAAAACTAAACACGGTTATAACAATCGTTACCTTGGTGTGGCAATAAAGTGAACTTCAGAAAAAGATACTTTTCAGTTGACAGTTAATTAGAACACTACAATCATGATCAATGACAACAAAGCTCAGACTCAGAAATTGCCCGCATAATATCCAGAGGTGGCTAAATAGAGCAGCATCGGCTCCCCCCTCCCCCCCAAATGGATTGCGGTTGTGACATACCGACCCGGCTGCCCTACAGCCAAGTTTTGGTTGTGAATTCTTCAAGAAAATTGACTTGCTTGACCTGGTCAACGTGGTAGTACACCGCCCAAATGCATATCATGGTAATATAAACGTTTTAGGAATGTTATCCCAAAGTGATTTGTATGGCACACAGTCTGGCTTCGAACGCGTGTGACATATATATAATATAATATTATATATATATATAAAATATGAGTAGCGTCTTTGAGCTGATCGACTGCGTATACCAACTTTCTGATCTCCACCGTCAACCACAACTCCCGTCCACGGCTCCGAAAAACGGAAGTATATACCACCAGTCACATCCCCGAAAACCACTCGACAAACGGGATAAATCAGGTTAAAGGTGACCGAAGCCTAAATCCTTGAACCAAATGGCGTACGATATGAGAGAACAGTCACTCTCAAGTGGACGAACGAGATCTACTGTGAGTTCTGAGGGCCACAAACGAAATCTAGCAAACTAACGGTAGTCCATGAATCCCTAAGATTTATTCACGTCCATCGAGTAGCGAACGAACTTTAACGAAGCCAAGAAAATTCAAGCACAAGGACACTACTGGCAAGCAGTCTGCACTTGGCTGTGTACATGCTAGGGAAACTTCCTCGAAAGAGGTGGCGTGACGGTGGTAACATCTCTTGTGCCAAACTCCAAAGGAAATTCATAATTTTAACGAACACGGCTTACCAGTTCAAAGATGAAATGTACTCCGGGTTGGAAATTAATGACTCCAATCTGAACAGCCAATCCTATCTAACCTGACGTTCAATAACAGTCGTTGACTCTCTGCCTGAACCGTAATGCCACAACAAGGCTTATTCTGAATGTTTTGCTCGCTTTTTGGACGTTATTCATCGATATTCTTTTCACGGCGACAATAGTAACGATGCCACATTTTGTTTCGGACTTGGTGAAAATTTTGAAAAAAGTGATAAAAAAGATAGAATATGTACTATCAGGACAAGAGAGAAAAATGATAAGTGGATGCACTGTCAATATGACGACATTGGAGAGTGTAGTACCGTTCACCGTCGGTAGTGCTCAGTATAATCTAATTCCAATCAGAAACCCAAATCAGACCAAAACTATCTTTCCGAATTGTGAAATCGGCTTGAATGGAACCACGCTCACAAATCGAACATACCGGAAAAGTAGAGAATTGAAAGGCAATACACGATACCCTTATCATATATATTGAACGAAAAATGAAACACTTCAAATGCGTCTGCGAAGTATTTCAGCAATTCTTTTCTTGTCCATCGTGAAACGCCATCGGCCTGAAGGTGAAAACATGTTTTCGTTAAAGCAACCTGCTAGCCTAGTCTAAACCAAAAGTGTGTGACAAGAACGACTCCGTGAGCAAGATACGTCAATACAGGCCAACAATGACTCGCACGTTACTGTCGGAACACTTCCATTCACAATTCTTGGCTCAATACAGATTCTGGTCACGGCTATCCTATACATATCTGGAATGGAGATTGGCAATGAGAACGCTGCGGTAATTATAGGCGGAACACAACTGAGAACGCAAAAACACTGAGCTGCATCTTTGATTCCCTGCAACAGATAAAAAATTGTCAGTGTTTTTATGTCTAAAAAACGATTTTCAAAACGCAATAAAACAGGTTCGACATGGATTGAGACGGGATCGACTCACTTGAGCCATGGAATCGCTATGGGCACACCAGGTGTGAACAACTCGTCCCATGCGCAAATCCAATATTGTCGCAAATCCCGAAGAGAAGCCACAAAATACGAGCCAATCACGAGTGTCTTGCTGTGCGAGATGATGTAGTGAGTGAGACACAGTGGAGATTTTATGAAACGGACTATACGTGCTCGGGAAGTGTGGGAACTGAGGGCCAGATTGACGAGGTGCCAGGTTACAAAACAAATTTTGCAACTGTGACGAGAGGGTATTACCTAGATCGTACGGAAATGAGAACGTTTTGGAGCATAATGGTCAGACCACACATAATGGACTGAAAAATGAAACACACCATATACATCTGCGAAGAGTACCGTGAGATAAAAATACTAATATACCAACATTCTAATTTCTTTCGGACTTAACGTAGATTCTTCAACCATACAACCGGAAGTAAGAACGACCAGTGCATAAATACCGGTTCATTGGGGATATGATTTCTCGAATTCTCGCATGGAAAGCGTGTCACCAGTGCGTGAACCAAATTACCTCGAGCTTGAACAAAATTACTTATTATTGGTTGGCCAGATATCGGAAGTCGGTCAGATGCTCGGGCCCACAGGAAAACACAGAGTAACCCAGCCGTTAACTCCAGTCGAAAGCATCTCATAAGACCACATGTTACAAACAGATTAAGGTACACATTCCCTGACAGGTTAGATATCGAATTTACGTTGAAACTCATAGTTACTTGTGAGTGGTCTGATTTCAGTAGTTAGGGTACGGTTCGACAAAATTCAGTACTNAGAAAATATAAAAGTAACATACTATTCGAGGAGCCATGAATGACGTATTGATTGAAGCACCATTCCGAGATGCCCTGCAAGTATTCAACGCTGTGCCTATTCCACAAATTCCACTTCACAATTACTTGTGAACTATTCCATGAGATTATCTGACCTAGGATGAGTGGAAGGAGTGAAATCATAAGTGAATTAGCTATGACATTTCTGGAAAAACAAGACTCTTCGAATTGCAATGGTACAAGGAATGTAAATCCAGACATAGTTCTTTTATCATATTAAATTCAGCTTACCAGGGGTGTGTTTTGGGAACACCCTGGCACGAGAATTCAACTCCTCCTGTGTGTCTGGTTTGCATGTTTGCGGAGACGGACTCCGGTTAGTGCCACGGATTCCAGATGCATAATACCCTGCTCCCCNCCGAGAACGAGCCAATGAATCGGATGCCAAAGAACAGCCACTGTTCAACCGCAAGGCACTTTGACTGCCCGATCCGGACACACGGGGGTCAATGAGATGCACGTACCCATTTTCATCTGCACAGAGAACTGCTCCACCGGGCACAGAGCAGCGTGCGAGGGCGGTTAGGTTTAGAACGGTCGTCAAACCGGAATGAACCTGGTAAGGGAAAGGAATACGTGCGACTTGTCAAAAAGTATATGGAACATTTAATAGACTATATGAAACCAGAACAGAATGGCAACGAAAAATTGCTGTGATCATATGTACCAGTTGTTTTCGGAAAAGATTTAGTTTGGTTGGAGTCATTCATCAGGTTACCTTTCAGTATCTGGGCTAATCTCGTAGATAGCGACCGGGAAATAAATAGGGAAAAACGTGTTAGGTATATCAGACATGATAGAACCAGATCAATTTCACACATTAGCAGCTGATTGTAGACGTATTGTGACTTGATGAGGCAGAACTCTACACACGCCTACGCCTACCCCAAAATTCCAAACGTAAAACGCGAACTGTTTTATTTGGATCTCGGGAGCTGCCTGTTAGCGAATCACCAATTTTTTCCCTGGACTGATGTCTTCATTCAAGATTTTTGTACTGCGATTCAAATGGCACACAGTTAGGATTAGTGAAACTGCGAAACATAATAACAATACAAATGTTTCTTAACCAAGCAAATGCATAAATGTTCGCTATTCACTTCGCAAATTGGACATCAGATCACTCGAGGAACACTTTGTGTTAAACAGTTAACAGCTATCCCATTGCAATGAGATAAATCTGTGAACAGCTTATCTATTATTTGGCAGCTAGACCCACTACCAAAGTTTTCCCTTCGTAATTACATCACTAGGGAAACGACTAAAATCGGTTCAATGGATCGTAGATATTCGCGATACTCATCATTCGGGACGAAGTCACTGTACTCTCCACTTCGCTTTTAGATGGCTGGAGGCAGTGACTGAGTTTCGTGCCACCGGTCTCAAATTTTGGATTCTTGATTAGCGGTAATTGTAATTAGGCTGGTGGAATGTGCCCTAGAGGGAGAAGAACAGTGCTTGACACGTGATGGATGTCTGATGACAGGATTAATCTCGACCAACCTTTTGACCGGTACAAGGATCCCAAAGTATAAGCTGTCCATCAATAGAGGCAACCAGCCTGTACGTTGGTAAATAGACCGCACCGAACACTGGTTTACGATGTTCCCGATAGATTAACCGAGCGAGAGATGCTTGATGTCCGGAGCTGTGGCCGACGGGTGTGTTACGTCCCGTAGAAGAGGAGAGCAGTTCATGCATGCTAGAGGCGGCCACTGGGTTCGAACTGACAGACTTTGAGGTGGGCGGAAGTGGATCTGTAGTTGTATGGATGGGATTATATGAATCAGATAAGGACCATAATTGCACGGTTCTGTCCTGCGAAGCGGTGAGGAAGGAACCCTCGGTGGAGAATACATCGATTGAAGTAATTCGGGCGGTATGACCTTGAAGAAAGAAACCGGGGAGAGGAGTATGATACGCCATTCACATTAGATTTTACAAAAATTTGTATAAATACCGGGGTTTTTGAAACAAATAGGCGTGGAAGAGAAAATTCAAAAGAATTTTTTAACTAAGGTTTGATCTGACTAGAGGACATGGTTTAGTGATCGTACCACTATTGGGCACAGTAAACCGATAACCTAGAAGCGGGATGACGCTTCGCTCCAATAAAACTGAGAGGTAAATGTGACAAAGTTGTATCATTCAAGTTAATAGTGCGTTTTCCCAACAGAAAACAATACCTATTGGAAGATGGGGACATACCGGAGAACGAGGCGACACGACTGCCATACAGATGACAGTCATCGGATCGTGAGCACTCCGATTCTCTGACTTCACGTTCGAACACCTCGGACCACGCATTACGTAAATGGAATGGTCCGCAACTGTACAGGGATGAACAGGCAATCTGGAATGTTTGTGTGCAAGAGAAAGAGCCCGTGAGTTTAGTAAAGCACAAAGATCATTTTTGCTGAAGATCAAAGGAATTACTGGAATTAATGTGTTTCAATGTAAGCGAAATATGCGTTTGTGTTCATGCGGCTAACGATCGATACCGGACGATAGACAAACAATCAATGCACAAGTGAACAACACAATAAACCGAACCAATTTCAGTCACCCAAAGGTTTATGCACCCAATAAGGTGGATATTCAATACTTTCGACAAGCTACGGCAAAAAGAACGTGTATTGTTCAATAAACAAAAAATGAATGTGATAAAAGCTTATGTGATAGGTGATTTTTGAAGTCCGCAATTACAGTTACTTGGTGTACTAAGATACGAGCGAGATGAACGATGGTTCCTTTTCAGTATGTAGTGGTGGGTGCAAGAAGCATACATTTGGGACGTGCACAGGAATAACACAAATTTATTGAGATGGGAGCGCAGGTGGGGTTCTTCAATTGACACTTTAGTCATGACTCTGTGTTGGATCTCATCATCATCGTACAGAGAAATATAGCGAAATGAACTTCAATGATCGCTGATACACTCGCCACACATACAAAGTTAGTGAGAGGTGGAGAGGGATTGGGCCCACTGTCACGGGGGAGTGGGTGTGAAGAAAGTGTACCTTTGTGGCCAACACAGAATACACATCCTAACTGTGTAAACATCCTTTTTCAAGCATTCTTGTCTGACAAGAAACGACAACAAGGTCACTGGCCACTGGTTAGTCGTCATATACTTGTACTTCCAACCAACCAGAAACAGAGAAATTTCAAACTCAATCTGGAAGACAAGCGACATCGACTCCATTTGAAAGCTCTCCGCGTCCGATCTACGCCACACTGACTTGTGAGTCACACTCTCAAGGGGATATGCATACTCCATTAGGAGCCCAATTCTTCAAACGCTTGGTAAACAACCGGAACAAAGACCCGGAAACGGATGCCAACAATACACAATAGTCGGTTTCAAAGCGGAACTATTTCATCACCTCCATAATTAACTACCAGCCGACAGAATTTGTGAACGCTGGACGTTCATTAAGGAAGCTATCCAAATGCTGATAAAAACAATGGTGGATTCTGACGCACGATCAAATCACAAGCGATGAATCTCCTCGACCTCGGTTGCCCTGCTGGATGCTCGCAAGGCCATTCCTTCAGGTGCCAAATTTGGCACAGCGCGCAAATCCTCCAAAACGCTACTTCATCAAGAATCTGAGGATCGACCTCGACAAGTGGTGGGCAGGAATTTGCAAAGAAATGGAGAAGGTTGCGACCATTGGTAACAGCTACAATCTTTTCCGTCTAAATAGAAGAACGGGCTCAAGGAAAGCAGATGTAAATGAGGCGATTAGGCAGTAAAACGGCACAGTGATTCACATTCAGCAAAACTGGGTGTCGCAAACAATGGCGCTCGTGCATCCACCCATT